TGTAAAATGCATGCAAACTTTGTGTGTCGCCGCCATCTTGGAAAAAATGACCTTCGAAGGTCAACGAATTTTGTGACGTCATTAGATGGGTAGCACCAAAACTACAAGTGAGAATTCTATTGCGTGCGTGTCGTGTTAGCCAAAAATATGTCGTTTTGAGCGTTATACTGGCCAATACTTTTCGCAATCAAACAAAAGAAGCCTACACTATCAGATAAAAACATATCGAGCGACTGGGAAAGCAAGGAATGGCGCAATTTACAATACAGGTAATTGATCATAAAATATTGCATTAGTGTTTGCCTTGTTTACACTCGAATTACTGCGTTTATTTAACACGGACTAGGACTGATATACTATCAGAAATAGTGTTACAAATAAGGAACATACTTGGTAAAACGTTTCTGCCCTTCGTTTAGGCTCAAAGTGCACTACGCGTGGTAATACTCGGTATTGTTTTATAGTCATGAAATTGTGTTTACCCATCTAATGACGTCAGATAATGTATGCTCTGGCACAAGTGTTTATTTTCAAAATGGCGGACTACTGTTGAACTTTTTATTACATTTTCTCAACAACTAAATGCGACAAACCGGCCAAAATATAAAATTAAGTATTCCGTAAGCATACCTAATAGATATAAGCAATAAAAATTTTGGTTGCCAATGTCCTTTAAGGAAACAAAACAGCAAATGTTAACGGTTGCCCAGAAGGGCCACGGGAAAAAAATATGAGGAAACAACATTTTTTAAGAGGTCCAGAAGTGCCACGGCGAATTGGGTACATCACGCGAACTTTTTTATCAAAACATCACGGCAAATTTTTGTCAAAACATCACGGCAAATTTGGCGGCGACTTTTAAGTCAAGATGGCATTTAATACTCAGTTGTCCATCTATCTTTTGCAAAAGCGAGCTGTTAGAACAATGACTAACTCAGATTACCGTGCGCATTCTGCTCCGCTTTTCAAAAAATTAAATATATTAGGTATCTTCAAACTAAATACTCATTGTATAGCCAGTATAGTATAGGTATATTTATGTATATATTTATAGCCGTGATTTATTACCTTTGACAACTTATTTATTTCGAACAATCAAGTTCACGATCATAATACTAGAGCTTCGGCCAAATATAGGTCTCATGCATGTCGAACTAACATAAAACAATTCACTATCCTATCGAAAAGCAACAAAAAATCGTCAAAAGAAGTCGATTTTCGATCAGAATAAAGCAAAATATATCATATTCACTCATATTGGCCGCGCTCGTTAACACCACAGGGGGTATGGGTCCAATAAATCGACCAATCAGGATCGTTTTTCAAACCTGTGTGGCCAGAGCCACTTAACGATGGCTCTTGGTACGAGATTGCATGATGTCCATGTATCAATCAAGAGTCGACTTAACTTTTCTTAAAATCTGATGGTAACGATGATAAGCGTTAGTCGTTCAGTTAAAACTATAGATCTAAGCACTGATACCTCTTTGTCGCTTTGCACAAAAAATGAAACAATGATCGTGCATTCGTGTTACCATGGCTACCACGACGCGAGAAACGCGAGCTTGCGTTCATTGGTGGCGTCTTGCATGTATTTCTAGTATAAGTGTTAATCCTACTTACCCCCGTAGTTGACAATAGCATATTTCGCCAGGAATTTATGTCTTTTGATTTAACAGCAGATTTTGCGAGTGAGAGAAGTTTATTATAAACCTGTAAAAGTCCAACAAAAATATTAACTCCAGACAAGGAACACTTTATATTCAGCGTTAGTACATGAATTAGTGCGTGCCAAATTGTGTGTTCAAGACGATAACACGTGTACCTAATTTTCAATTAATTTTCGGTCTTGAAACAGTGGTGGATCCAGCAAAGTTTTTTATGGGGGGAGCTGGGCGAGCAGCAAAGCACATCGAACCCAGTGGCGGACACTATGGCAGGGGGGAGGGCGGCAGGGGTGGGGCCGAGCCCCCTCCCCAATAATTTTGAGAGACTGCAAAAATCTTGTACCAAATAACACAAATCACACCTATATAACGTAATTGTCATATTAAATAATGACTATATATAATGTTCAAAGGATATTTTACTATTGTAAGTAATTACAATAACGAGGAAAATTAGAACGTATTTTCAAGTCCATGGAGCATAATAAGTTGCACAGGAACTAAAATGCTAATTGTAGTGGATGTTATGTAAATTTATTATAGCGAATAAATTCCACTCACTTAGCGAATAAATTTTTACATCGTCATTGGCGAGTTAAATTAAACCACTTTGCAATTCCATTCACAAACGTAAATAATCATGTCAATATTTTCTCTGAAATGTTGGTTTTTTATGCTTGACATGTGTTTTATAACAAAATGCACCATTAAAACAGTGTCTTGAAAACCTAACGCTTTTTTTTACAAAATTTGTTCTCAGAATGCTGCCGATGTCATTTCCGGGATCGAAATTTTAAAAATATTCCGGGGGGCATGACCCCAAACCTCCCAAGAATTCTTGGGCCTTTGGAACGAGTTTTGGCCACAATTTACAGATATGTTGAATAATATATAAAATATAAATTCCCAATTCTCTTAATTTTTCACATTTGAATATTGATTGCTTTTCTATTTTATATTTTCATTATCAAATACTATAATGTTAGATGTTTGCAGCCAAATTAAGAATTTGCTTTCTTCATTATTCAACATTGAATTGGATAGAATTGGAACACTACATCCAATCGGAAGTTTCCCACTCCCAGTCTTTTCATGCATGCGAAGAGCGCTCGATCAGTCAATCATGACATAAACACGCGTTTGGCTTCAAGAAAAAGATAGACAGTTTTATCTGAAGGTGGCGTTCCAGTTACATTCATTTCAATGTTATACTCAATCAAAGTATCCGACTAAAAATATTAATATTGGACTAATAAGTATTTTGAATTGGTGCTGTGGTGCTGCCTTGAATTCCAAAACTTAAGTCTGAGAACAAACTTTGAATGCCACAAACATTTAAAAGTAAGATAAATTCAATATTTTACCCCATGCATCCCTGTTGACCAAGGCCAACAGGAGTGTACAGTGCAACAATCCTATAAATCCACCACTGCTTGAAAATATTCGGTATAACATTGGTGACGGTAGTGGGATATTTTGTCCTTTGTAGCAATGGGGATAAGATCTCAAACAAAAGCACACACAGAAAGGTAGTCGGATGTGATAACCAGGTTCAATAAGAATAACAAAACATTTTAGGGTGATGGAAGTTCTGGTGAGTTAGTTTCGATATTGAGCAAATGGCACGTGTGAAGAAAGCAAAATATATTATATTAAAATTCAAGAATGGCATCAGTAAATATAATTGCCAAAAACATAGAACATCTATGTAGACTTCCTTATACTTATGGTCCCTGGGCATTTTCGACTCAAGTTGGAACCTTTAATAAGGTAATTTGTATTAATTTAACAGGAAAAAGGTAACTGACACGGCTATTAATTCAGTAAACGTCTTGTATGTGTGAATTATTATACTTCGAAAATTTCTATGTATCTGTTCACTAACTCTTCCAAAAAACCGCCCTTTCTGGGAACATTTGAATTATAAATTTGTATTTTGGTAGAAATAAACACACAAAAGTTTTCTTCACCTGAAGTAATGGTTCTTGCCCAATTCTCATTTCAATTAATCTCATCACCAAATGTGCTTTACTACACATAGCTTTTAATTGCTTACATGAAGTCAAATGTGGATGCATGTGAAGGAAGCTTGGTTGATGGCACGCAGTCGTTAAGGTTTCAGAGTCAGTATCAGAACTAATCTCTTCTGGTGATAACGAGGACTTGTTGTGTAGTGGTAACAAACCTGACCCACCAATTTCATATTCACAAACCTTTTTCATCTCCTGGAAATAACCAAAAATGAATTTAGTTTTAATCAGTAAAATATACTAACAAAGTATAGTGCAGTACTGTTGCAAACGTTTTAGGTCACCTTAATGGACCATTTGCATTATAGACTAAATTTTGATCTAGACAAAAATTTCATCACAGATTGAAAGAGCATCACAAAATTAGTAATATTCCAAAGTTTCGTTGCGAAATGTTGTAAAATGCGCATATTATAGCCTTGCGAAATTTGCAATTTTCAGTCATTTTGTATTACAAACGGAAAATTGATGCCACAACACCCGATTGGGCTGTCAATTTCCCGTACGTAATACAAAATGACTGAAAAACGGCAAACTTCGCAAGGCTATATATATTATCCGCATTTTACAACATTTCGCAACGAAACTTCGGAATATTACTAATTTTGTGATGCTCTTTCAAGCTGTGATGAAATTTTTGTCTAGATCAAAATTTAGTCTACAATGCATGCAAATGGTCCATTAAAGGGCTCAAATATCATTAAATTCCACCTTACATTTCTCTAAAACATACCTTCCATTAGGTGTTATTTGTGCATGACAGGAAGATAGCACTGTACGTTTAACAAAGAACCTATTCATTAAATTGTTTTCCCTAACATTGGCAATTAAACGTTATTTCCTCAATTGTGGTTATGTGTGTGTTTCAAACCAATTTCTCACGACACTCAGCACATTCAATTTAAACTGGATACGACTGATGTACTACGGAATGGAAATGTTACGAAACTTGACAAATTCTAGGGAATAAATTGATATGTTGTTGCTTCTGAAAATATCTGATTCAACAAATGTACAATGGTCATAAAATAGAAGTTAAGTGTATTTTTTGTTCAGAACCTGGTAAAGACAGGTAACAGTTGATACGATCGTATTTGTTGGAACCAGGAACTGGTTACCAGGAACTGGTTTACGTGCTTCGGTGAATGTTAACCACAAACTATGCTATTACGAAGAAGATGGGACGTCCCAAGGGACGGAAGTTAGAAAGGGTATGCCTAGTTTATATTTTTGTTCAGATAATTGAGTAATTTGATAATATGCGATACGCGATCTCACTTAACTTTCAAAGGCCATAAATCGCTACAATCAACATATTGACTTCACTGAATCGAATGGTGGTATTCGTGGCTTCATAGCATGCACCGAACCGAAGATATGAACCTTCTTATCTTTCTAGCGTGAAATACAAATGAACACAACGAATAACAATGCAGTCTCGTTGTTTCAGTGATCACAACTGAAAAGTTTATGAAACTTAAAAAAGAGTTTCAATCGAAAAGACCCTCTGGAAAGTTTACTATGCATGCTAAGGGAAGCCTCACATATCGATTTTGTCTAATTTTCAAAACAACTTTTTTTGCACGAAATATTGACAATTATAACGCGTTTTTCTCGAGATTTGAGTGTTTTCAATGCAGGGAAGCGTAATAGTATAATCGTTTGAATTTTCCCCACCCATCCCAATACTGCATGCAAAGTGAAACATTGCATTAAATGGTCAGAAAACGCAAAAAAGAGAATAGTGATATGATCAAATGTTTGCTTCTTATATACTATATTTCAAACATGTCAACCATAATATGTCACGTGCAGTGGCTTTAAACCTGATAAAACACTGCTAATTAGTATTCTTGATATAAAGAATACTAATAAGACAGTATCTATTGTAGTCGTGTTTTCATTAGTATTCTTTATATAAAGAATACTAATAAGGCAGTATATCTATTGAATTTGTATAGTCGTGTTTGAAGCCGTTCAATAAACTCGCAGGTCGTGTTTTATTAGGTCTAAAGCCACTCGCGCTGCGCGCTCGTGGCTTTAAACCTAATAAAACACTCCTGCTCGTTTATTAAACAGTACATAGTATCCTGTAGTATTAGATAAAAGCCGGGTAAATGCATTGCAAAGGTTAAATTTGCAATATTCGTGCAAAGGTTTTTTGCAATATTTGAAATGCAAAAAGATCATCACGAATGGTGTTGTTATATTTCTTCATGGCAAATTTTACGGGCAAAATTTTAAACACCCCTGATTGACAAAATTTATAGCATATTTCTACTGGGTTTCTTTTGTCAATTTTAACTTGAAAAATACACAACAATGCATAAACACTGGCAAAACGGTTGTTTTGCATGTATTCTGTCATATTACTTAGTGTCTACCTTAATTAGCTTTCCAATTTTACAGTACCTCTCGTATCCAGTTCCTATATTCATTGTTGCCAAATGTTTTCTTCATATAAAGTCCATATAAATATACCGTTATACCAGCCTGAAGCCACGAATCTGACCTGAGACAATATATCAAATTATATTCGTTACTTAAATCTACATTTCAGACAAGCATGTAATTGTTTTTGAGATATAACATAAAATATCTTAGCCTGTTTTATACGTCAAATTTTAGTCGCGTCGAATGCAATTAAAGACAATCGATAATGAGATGATAAACCTCATTAAGCTTCATTATCTATTGCTTGAATTGCATTCGACGCGACCGAAATTCGACGTAAAAAAACAGGCCTTAAATATGACCGTAAGGCAAGAAAACCAGCAACTCAGAAATGTGAAGGATAGTGCAAAGTGTCAAGTTTTCGACTAAAATATAGCTACTTGCCCTACAAATAACCTTGGAAATATGAATTTCTTTTAAAAAGTAAGCGTTTATATATTTTTCTATGACGCTGGAGGACGTGTGAATTAAATCTTACTCTTACATTATTGGCACTGATGACGGTCGAGATCGAAAAAAATATTGCTAAATAAATAGTGTTTCCACAAAGTAAAACAATGGTTGATACTTCGACATGCAAACATACAAGGAACTTGCAAATTAACCAGGAATTCTGTACTATACCATTCAAATGTAAAATGAATACAAAAATTATTACAAAAACATACCACATATGAAGAGACAAATAACATCCAAAAAACTGTCGAGCTAAAGCAAGAGCCAGCGTCTTCCTTGTATGAAAGGTTTGGTCAATCATCCGACTTGAATGAAGCAAATTTGTACTTTGGAGTGAACAAAAAAAAAATTAGTGATATATTTCCCTGCAGTTATTAATTGAAAAAATAAAAAATATATTAAGAATTATACCTGCAAATAGCCAAAGTGGCATATGCGGACGTTTCCTCAAATGAATAATCGACAAAGACTTGTTTATAATTTGAATAGGGAAAATGGCAGCTCATCGACTCCTCATAAAATTCAAACACCTTGAAAGTAAAGTAACTAAATTAATGAACTATAGTATAATGAACATCTGGTTTGATTTATGTCGGTGAAACTGGCCGGAATCTCCCAAAAGAACACATGACGAACTAGAGATACATTTTAAGGTGGCTGAATATAGTTTTTAAAAAAATGGAAAATTCACGATATAGATGCGTATTTTTGGACAATTATTATATGTTGATAAACAAAAAGTACCTTACTGGTTCCATTTTAGATCGTTACTAATCGTTAGGCCCACGATTTTGACATGATTAACAATTTCTAAATTATTGCCGTTGATACGGATATTTGAAGAATCTAATTCGTTCCTTCCAAAGTGTACTCGTAACTCATTACGTTTAGAGCTATTGAGTCGCAAACGGTTGTCCATCGACCATTGTTGTATATAGTTTACACTTTCTTGTATGGTGGATAATTCTCTTAACTACTTCCGAGGTCGTTGTATCATCAATATATTTCCATTGATCGGCAGCACACGGTCGGAGATCGTTAATCATCAGGATAAACAGCCGAGTTTGGTTCCTTGTGGAACTCCTGATGGAACCCCATGCCATCCTGAAAAACAATCTCGTGATAGTTTTACCCGTTGTTCTCTATCCATGAGAGTGAGAGATGAAGTTGAAACAATTTTGTGCAAGGATTCGATGGTCGATAAGATCAAACGCCTTCCGATAGTCAATGAGAATCACCCGAACAGTAACCCCAATACCGTAGCCTTACTTCAGTCATGAACCATATCAATAAGTGCTAATGTGGCCGAAGACCGAGGTATTCTTCCGAATTGCTGTGGATGAATGACACACAAAATAGAAGGGGCATAATAATTTTCGACAACGAAGTCTTCGGCAATTTTGGATAGAATCGAGGTTAATGATATAGGCAGGGTGTTAGCCAGGCGGCCGTCAGGCCTTAAAATATCGGTCGGTCACGGACATTGTCCGACCCATTCGTGAAATTGTCCGACGTAGAGAGGAAACCACCGGACATTCTGTCCGACCTAAGTGAAACTGAGGTTTATTGTTTGTCCGACCCGAGTGAATTGGTGTCCGACCGAAATGCAGCTTTGTCCATTGTAAATCAAAATGTACCCTAGCCCAGGACTAGAGGCTTGTATATATTAAATGGAAAATCGGAGTACTATTGTATAGAAGGTGAACTGGAAATGTTGTTTTAGCATAGTCGAGCGTGGGGTGGCGAGCGAAATAGTGAAGAGGAAAACGGGCTTAAGTTGTCGAAGTCTTTTTTTAATACTGCTGCTCTGGAAAGCAAGTTAATTTTGGCTTGGAAATAAGTATGAAAGAAACGAATTATTTAATATCTTCATAACATTTACCGTTCAGAATTAATACATTGTGCTGATATTCATTTGACGTGTCATTCAGACTTATTCGAAGTCAAAACTGAAGGTCATCGGACTATTCGCACATATGTCCGACCCAAACTTAACGTCATCGGACATTTTGTCAGACGGCCCTGTAAAAGATATTTTAAGGCCTGCGGCCGTCCGACCGTAATACGGACGGCCACTTCTGAACTTTGTGCGCCACATGCTTTAGAATTACAGTACACTACGGTTCATACCATATGTGTGCTTTTACTAATTCAATGACGGAAATGTGCATCTAAAACTAAAAGTAAGAAGGTTCAACGAATAGAACACCACAATTCCACAACATAAAATTGCGGCCACACCCAAAAACATGTGACCACACGCACAAAAAATTGTGGCCACGCCCACAAAATTATTTTGGACGGCCACTTTTGAAATCCTGGCTAACACCCTGGCATATAGGTCCGAGATGTTTATTGGTGTATCAGCAACCGGTTTCTCTTTAGGAATGGGGGTGATATTTGCTCGTTTCCAAGCTAATGGTAATTTTTGTTCGTTATGCGAGACATTACGAAAAGTTTAAATGGACGAAGCCAATATATCTGCATATTCCTTCAAAACCCAGTTCGCCATACCGTCAGGCCCTGGGGCCTCGCCAGAGTTCAAGGATTTTAATTTGCTGTGTACAGACTCCGGCGAGGTCATACTCATATATCAACGCGCGAGACGTCTTCCGAAGTATCTATTAACATCTGTAGATCAAGATCATCAAGGGGACTATACTTCTTCATTGGATCCAGGAAGCTATCGTTAATTGTATTTGCAATATCAGATGGAAACATTTGGTCAAGATTGTCAATTTGAAAATGTGAACGCAAGCTGTTGAGCTCGGAAGGTGAAGTCTTCCCACAAATGCCATTGATTTTTTTCCACAACTCTTTGGGTCTAGTTTGTTTTTTGAGATGGCTAACTTTGCAAGCGTAGTTGTTGATGCCGACATCTTTTCTTCATTTTGTTCACTTGATTACGATATAATTTAAAGGCTGCAATATTGCCAGTTGAGAAAGCTTGTTGTCATTTTTTGACCATACACTTGAAATCCTCAGTAATCCACGGAGGGTCGTTATGGTGAAATTTGTTCATTTTTTCTGGCATGAGAAGGTTCAATCCTGTAGATATACC